TCTCCAGTTAAATATTAAACATAACAGGTTTAAGAGTCCAATCCTTTTTCCTTAGGTGGGGTTGACTCTCCCCTAAATTAGCATCCATTGTTGATGCGGGACTAAACTACATTTGCATGGTTCTCTCTTTAGAGTGTCTTCATAGTTGCATCCACAGCTTTAAAAATGGGCGAGTTGACTTGGGGAATGCTCGAGTAATATCTCCTCAGATACCCAATTAGTCCAGTCCTAGAGAATATTCGGACAATTCTCTTCAGACTCATCGAATCTTACTGAGGTGAATGGGATTTCATTGTAACTGTTCCCCTTTCCTATTACCCCCCCTCAAGGTGGGATTGATTGCTCAAAATCCCTTCAGTTCCACACCCACCCCACCCCCCACCAAACAAAAGAACAGAAACAAAAAACTAGTTTCACTTTTTTCATGAGATTTCTATTAGTTTTATCTTTTGATATTTCTTTTATAAATTAAATATTAAATATGTTTCACTAATATTTTATTTAAATCAACTGATTTACCCTTCCTGAATTGCTGACTTTGATTCACCATACCATATTCCAGCAAAGAGAACAAGTGTTTGAATTCGAGGCCCCAAAGAACCGGATTGACATTGGACCTCAGTAGAACCTTTAGGAACATGCGCTTTTACTCATTCAGGATGTCTATGTCAAGACAAGGTTATGCGGGAGTCTGGTGCATTAGGAATGTTCTTAATCTTGTTAAGCCCGTCAATTTTTTAAGCTTATCAAAAGCTAATCCCAGTATAATAACCCTTTGGAGGCACCTGATCTGCAAAAACAGACACATTGAGGCATCATCAATGATGATTTTTCCCAACATGTAGATTTTATGCCGGGAGGTTCAACCTGCATGAGTTGGAGGAGAGATTCAAACATGGAAGGAACAATCCCGAAATGTCACCTAGGTCCTTTAGGCAATGAACATGCCACTCGTGCAGAAGATGTTCTTCTGCTGTTGTTCTCAAAGGTGTTAGGATCTTATTGAGATCTAAAGGTGCCAGGCATCATTTAAGGCAATTTAACCAAAGTTATCAGGGTGCCTCAAAGGAGAAACCCCAAACATTTGTAGGCTTGCAGGTGTTCTTTTGCAAAATGGGCGCATGGTATTTGGCAAACATTGGTGCACATAGAGGTTGCATAGGTTTTAAGAGCTTATGCCTCGATATCGCTCAACAAGGTCTTTGTAATGTTATAATCTCTTTTTGATGAAAGTTATTACTTATTCAAAGAGAAAGACTCAAATATGCTGACAATAGTAAGTGGAGGGCGTGGATCAAAGAGTTTGTCTTGTCTTCTTGGTTGTCAGTCATCAAGCGGGCTCAGCCTAGAAGATTATCTATTTTCTTGTTTGAGATATGGCTGAGATATTTAGTCAATCTTTTTGCATGTTTACAATCAGAATTTCATCCAAGGCTACAGGGCAAGCCGGGTCCCCCCATTTCCCATCTCCAATATGTTAATAATTACTTGGCATTTAGTAATATGCAGGTTTCCAGCAAATAGACAAATTATAGCTTGTTTTGAGGTTGTTTAAAGTGGCGACCGGCTTTAAGATCAACATGGAGAAAACCATTCTGACAGAAGTGGCATGCCACCAAACCTAGAAAGAGAAACATCCAAGAGGCTTGGTTGTGGATTCCGCTTGCTGCCCACCAACTATTTGCAACTGCCAGTATGTGTGGATAAACCTTGCAAAGCCCTATGCGACTCAATAGTAGAATGGTTTGATTGAAGATTGGCTACATAGAAGTCCAGATTCCCCTCTTGCAGGGGAAGGATTCCGCTAATTAAGGACATTCTTGCCAACACTCCGGTTTTTCACATATCCTCATTTAGAATACCGATGCCTAAGGTTAATCGGCTTGAGCGAATGATAAGAGATTTCTTATGGTTTGATGAGGGGACAAACATGAGCTTTGTTTGGCCAATTGAGACCATGCTTGCAAATCAATAAAAACAAAAAAAAAAAGGGAGATTGGGGATTAGAACACCCAAACTGCTTAAAGACTGCCCCTTCCAGGTAATTGGTGGTGGACCTTTGCCACTCAGGAGGGTGACCTGCAGCACCAGGTGGTCGTCTAGAAATATAGTTTGAATGGTCAAGGGTGGCAACCAAGAGCCACAAGGGAGGCCATCAGCCTCGTGGACCTAGAACAGCTCATTCTGACTTCGTCGCCAACACTAGATACGGTGTGAAGAGCGACATGGTTACTTTGTGGAAGGGCCTTCGGCTATGGGAGTCCATGTTGGACTTGCTCAGCCCCAAAGTTGTTTTCAATGTGCTGATACCAGGATGGAACAGTAGTTGACTCATGAGATGATAGATCAACATTCAGTGTGGCTGCTCGAGTTCATAAGGGATCAATGGGACAAAGCATAGTTGTAGGAAGCAGGAGAGAGAGACTGTCAAATGCTAGAAGCTCCCAAGGTCAGGGGTGCATTCTATACAAATTTTAAATTAATAAATAGAATTACAATTAAAGAAATCAATAACTCAAAAAAATATAGTAAAAATGGGGAATAAAAAATTAATCATCAAATTGTATTTTGTCAATAAAATAATATTTGCATATTTTGTCAATAAAATAATATTTTCTATTCATTTAAGGTGTTGTTTATGGAACATTAATATCAAAAAATACAATATTAAACAATTTCAAAAAATAAAATAACATAAATAAAAATGCAAAAAGAAAATTATGACGATATGTCACCATGAGAACTAATACACACGAGGGACTTGATTTTTTATTGATAATATCTGCCTTAATTTAGTATTTCACACTTCATAATCCATAAGCATATCAAGCTGCTTTATTTACATTTTACACTTTACAACCACCAAAGCATTAGAGATTGTGAGAATGATCACAATCTGGATCCAAATGAATCGACTTCTTGGCTTCTTGTTGCCCCTTTGAGGGGGGCTAGGAGCAATCCAAAAAGTGGGGATCGGGATTACAAAATTTAAGAATCACAATCCCATGGACAGGACATCCTTTCCTTGAGTGCCGGGCCAAACTAGGATCAACATCTAGTTTGTGAAGTCTCTATAGCTATGGGACAAAGAGATTGAGGATCTAGCTTCTACGTTGTTCAGGAAAGAAATTGACATTGGCCCGGATACCAAATGGCCCCTTCTCGGTGGCCTGCTTTCACCATACACTCACTCCCAACCTCTCAAACACTGACAAGGTCACTAATGAAGCCTGGCTTCCCCAGATCCCCCAAAAGTAGAGGTCTTCATTTGGGAATTCATGTCCAAAAGAGCCTTGATGTGTGACTAACTACAACACGGATGTATTCGGCTGCCTAACAAGTGTGTTATGTACAAGGAATACGATAATCGAGTCACCATATTTTTCTCTCTGTCCAGATACTTACCATATCTAGTCTGCCTTGTTGACCACATTTGACAGGTTCTCAACCCGACTCGGAACAATTTTTCTTGACCTGCTTCGCCCCTCCTTTCTCATCCTTGGTCCATATGAGGAATACAATTTTCCTCACAGTATGGTGCTTTTTGTTAGGGTGGAACAGGCAAACTTTTTAGAACTGACCAAACTGAGTAGAAAGACTGAGGACCAGATCCTTGCTAAGGTCATCTTTTGGGTTAGAAATCACGAGCCCTTTTCTATAGATGACTTTTTGCATAATTGGAGACTTATTTTATTCTCAAAGCCTTCAAGTGCCTCTTGAATGGCTTGCTGGATCCCCGCAGACCAAGACTTCTAAGCTGCAATATGATAGTTGCTCCCTCGGCAACCATAGGCCGTCAGAGGTAGCAGGTGCTCTGAGATAGATAACTGCAGATCCTGCTTTCATTCTCAGTGCCGGAGAGCTTTTTATATAGATCATCACTTTTGGAAGCTGTAGATTTTACATTAATACCATACTACCCATCAGCTTTTCTCAAAAAAGGAAACATACACTCAAATAGTACAATATATGCAACATTGCAGTCTTGATAAAGGCTTCCTCCTAAGAGTTGTAAAATTTGGAAACCAGGGGAACAGCAAACCCATGGTCCAATAAGCATAAACCAGATCCATCCACCAAGGAATACAAATCTATTAAGGATCACATTTAATCTATGTTGACATTAACAGGGAAAAAATTAAGAGAACATAAATTTATTCCACTGACAAATGAAGTGGAAAAGAATAAAAATGATATAAGAATTAAGCAAAGCATGTGATACGATAAAAGAATGAGCATCAGAAATAACAACAGAAAATATAGAAATATAAAAGAAGGGAGGAGCAAAAAGGTGTGAAAAAGTACTTCACAAACTCAAGAGTGGCAGCATATAGAAGTGGCAATACTTGATAAATCGGAATAGCCTTCAGAGCTGGCTGCTTCCCAAGTTCCTCATCTCCAAAAATTGGTAGCTGCAAGAGTTTCTAACCAGCTTGTGCAAGAATACAAAGAAATACACAAGTCAACCAGAAGACATATACATATTTAACTATGAAAGAAAGATGGAAAACTCATGGTCCGCATAAAGGGAACAGAAACTGAGAGTCATCGGAAAGGAAGAGCAGAAGGTTGCATCAAAAGAGCTCTTGTGAGAACTTCAGAGTCCTGATAAGCTCCCAAGAATTGTCATGCAGAAAATCTGAAAGAAGCCATGCGAACTGGCATTTCCAAGATGAGGTTCCTCTGCCAAAGGTCATTCATGAAGCTAAATGTCCATCGATATGTAAATAAGATATGTAAAAATCCCTCAGAATGAAACACAAGAAAACATAAAGTATCTGCATGCACGCAACAATATAACCAGAGGAGATTATTCGGTGGCAATCCACGTCAAAAACCCAACCTAAGTGCTACATGAATCAGCAATTGTCTACCTCAAGACTTTTTGTCACATCATATTCATGCACAGCCTCGTCGCAAAAAACATATAAAATAGAGCTTGTGAATTCATGTAATCCCAATTACGTAGAGATAATCCAAAACTGAGATCACCCCATGGATGGTAAATCAATTTCTACAAAATCACGATTTTACAATTCGTTCAACTCTCTTGCATGCTTAGCAAGCTTTTTTTCCACTCGATCCTCAAGCATAGGATCCAATTCCCTGATATTGGAAAAAAAATCCATCTCATCTTGGAATTTTCTTGCTCTACAGTAACCATCAACAATTAATTTCACTGTTACAAAATCGTGATTTTACAACTCTTCCATCTCTCTTACTCGTGTTACAAAATCATGATTTTACAACTCTTCCATCTCTCTTACTCGCGTAGCAAGCTTTCTTACTGATTGATCCTCAAGCAAAGGATCCAATTCCCTGATATTGGAAACAAAATCCATCGCATCTCGGAATTTTCTTGCTCTACAATAAGCATCAATGACGGTGTTGTAAGTCAGCTCATTAGGCCTACAATTGTGTTCAACCATATATTTAATGACATCTCTCACCTCTTCAAACAGTCCAAGGCTTGAATAGCCAGCAACAAATGTATTGTATGTCACAGTGCATGGACACATGCCTGAAGCTGTCATCTCAGAGATGATCCTCAAACCATCTTGCATGAGACCTCTCTTGCAAAACCCCTTAATCACAGTGTTGTAAGACACAATGTCAGGCTTTAGCCCTGAGCTTTGTAGTCCTCTAAGGATCTCTTCGGCTTTTCGATAATCCCCACCTCTCGCATGCATATCCATCAAGCAATTGTATGTGACAATATCAGGATGCAACCCACTCTCATGAATCGAGCATAACATATCTTGTGCCTGATCATACATCCTATTTTTTGTGTAAATAGAAATCATGGAGTTGAAGATGACCAAATCAGGCTTATACCCATTTCTCTTCAGCTCCTTGAAAGCTCTCTCCATGCCATTCAACTGCCTACATTTAAAATATACGAGCACAAGGGTCCTCAATAGCACCCAACTTGGGAAAATCGACCCACCATAAACCTCAGATTCGATATCTCGTATCCCTTCCATATTACCTCCCTTACCATATGCATGTAGCATAAGAGAATGGGTTGTTTCATTAGGCCTGTACCCCTTACTCCTAATGTCTCTAAGAATAGTTTCAGCTGCCTCCCAATCTCCCCTTCTTGCAAATGCGTTCAAAATCGAATTATAGGTTGAGAGATCAGGTGTAAAACCAGCCTTAATCATCTCTTCATATATTTGCAAAGCATGAACCCCTCTTCCGCAACGACCATAAGCACTAATCAACGTATTGAAAGTATCTCGATCAGGCTCAACCCCACAGTTCTTCATCTCCTTAAACACTTGATTCACATACTTCTCCTTCCCCTTAGTTCCACACATGGCCAACATTGTGTTCCATGTGACCCTGTTTGGAACACACCCATTGACTTTCATCTCACTTAAAACAGCCATCATCTCTTCCGACCTCAATTTCCTACCAAGCATCCCAAGAATCGCATTATAAGTACACAGATTGGGTGGGCATCCCAAACTTCTCATTCTATCAAATATTTCTAAGGCTAATTCCTCTTTTCCAGCCTTTCCATATGCATTTATCAAAGTAGTGTAAGTTACAGTATTAGGCATCACACCTCTAGAGCTCATTGTATCAACAACAGAAGCTGCTTCTTCTAAGAAGCCAGCTCTTATATAAGCAAGAACCAATTCATTGTATGTTACAGTGTCTGGTGGGCAATTGCTTTCTTCCATTTCTTTCAAAGTTCTCAACGCTTCAGAATGAATTCCAGCCTTTGCAAAAACACTGAGAAGAGAATTATAGGCCACCTTACCTGGAACATAGCCATTTGATTTCAACCCATTGAAAAATTTGACTGCCTCTTCACACAGGCCTTCACGGCCACAAGCAGATATCACTGTACTGAAAGTAAACTCATCAAGTTTCAATCCTTTCTCTGTCATCTCATCAAGAAGCCCCAATATTTGATTCCATGACCGACCCATCCTCCCATAAACATCAAGCATTATGTTGTAGGTAACCAGAGTGGGTTCAAGACCTTTCTCTTTCATCTTCACAAAGAGACTAATTGCCTTTTGATAGTCACCCATTCGAGAATACGCATAAAGAACAGAAGTGAGGGATCGAACATCTAGACTGCATTCGTCAGCGTCTGTTCTCTCGAAGAGCTTTGAAGCAACAGAGTGCTGAGACTCCCGGCTCAAAACCCTCACCATTAACTCCACAGCTTTTTGGTCCAATTTTGATGGGTTTTGGGCAATGACCCATTCAAACAAAAGCAGAGCCTTCTCCCAGTTGCCGCAGAGCTCTAAGCCCTTTATGAGCCCAAATAAATCAGAACCAAGAACCCCATCTTTCGCGGAATCTAAGAAGCCATAGATAGTATCAGAGCTATCACTAAGCTTGAGAATAGAATTGAGGATTGACTTCGAAGATTTTGAGAGGAAGGGGAGACGGGCGGGGATCCGAATTGGATCATGGGTGGGCTTAGAGAGAGAGGAAGAGTGGCGAAGAGATGGGTAGTTGGGTTTTGAGGGGAAGTGGATTGTGTTGTTTGGAGGAGGAGAAGAGAGGTGGAGGAGGTTTTGAAGGAGAGAGTCTAAGGGGAAAGGGGAGGAAGAAAGAGAGGGAGGCGGAGGTGGTCTGAAGCCTGTATGATGTGTTGAGGAATTTGCAGAGGGGATTGGGAGAGAAGGTCGGAGAGAGAGGGCGTCTCCAGCCATTAGAGCAACGGCAATGGAGAGTTGAAGAGAGAGAAAGATGAGAGAAATGGCAGTGGAGTGTTGAAGAATTGTGTAGGCCGATTGCGTTATCAAAGGCGTGGGGACGAGCGTCGATGCAAGCCCCGTCTCTCTACAGTCACGACATAGTTTTATGTAAGTTTTTTTTTCTTTTTTTTATGAGGCTGCAACCCCATTAAAATAGGGTGCGGTTTGTATTGAGCATAGGCTCTAAACAATCAAATTAGAGCCTACCTTCAAATAGTATCGAGAAATATAATTTCAATACTGGAAATCTGTTCGATAGCCTTAAAATGTATTTTCATCTTTATTCATAAACTTTAAAGCTTATAACAATAGTGTAGATTGAGATATCTATGAAAACTTGAAAATCTTGAAAATTGATGGTCTAAAAATGCGTTACAAAATACACTATTTTCAAAACTTGAAATCTATTTTTTTCTTATGCCCATGCATCTTGATGTCGAAATGATTAATTTGAGGATATTTGGGCATGAAAACAACATCTTCTAGTGAAATTTTTGAGGTGGGCTCGAATTTGATTGTTTAGAGCCTCGGCTTCATATAAACTTTTCCCCTTAAAATAAGGATGAGGTTTCTATAAGTTTACATCAAATCCCCATTTGGAAAGCACTTTTGTCCATGATGGTTCTAAAATCAATTTCCAACACCGACGATGAAATTTGAAACTAAAAAAAAATGCTGCATATCTCATTGGTGTGTGAAAACTTATTTTTAAAGTAAAATAGATGGTCTAGATAATTTATTACGATATACATAATTTTTAGAGCTTGAAATCCTATGTTTATTCACAATCATAAGGTTCAAGCAAAGATGATCAATGTAAACATTTTCTAATTTTTGAATTGCAATTTTCGATGAGTTATGAAGGGAGACTTTACTTATTTTGATAGGGCAAACCATTTTCCTTTATTGAGTTTTGCAATGTGTTGAGTTTTGCAATGAGGCTTTATTTATTTTAATTTATTTTAAGAAAAATGGTTTGATAGGGCTACAGTCATATTAAAATAAGTAAAGCCTCACCACATAACTCAGAAAATTACAATTGAAGCATTGAAAAACATTTACATCGATCATATCGGCTTGAATATTATTAGGGTTGTGAAAAAAAATTAAGATTTCAAGCTCTAAAAATAGTGGATATTGTAACAAATTATCTAAATGGAGCATTTCACCCTAAAAATTAATGTTCATAGATCCACAAGATCTGTACTATTTTTTAAGTTTCAAATTTTATTATTGCTATTGGAGATTGATTTTAGAGCCATCATGAAAATTTTCGTTGCCGAAAGTGCTTTCGAGAAGAGGATTTGAGGTGAGGCTTTATTTTGTTTTCATGAACCGTAGGCCTTATAGAAACTTCATCCTCGGTAAGAGATGTAGTTTTGGTATTGAAAAAGGACATGGTTTCTATGTGGCCAGACCGCATATTGTAGACGCTTAGCAATAAATATATTTTTTAATATAATTTTATCCCAGTTTTTAAAAAATATATAATCTTTAACATGGAGATCATGAATGTGCAAAATAATAATAATTTGAAAACAAGAAATAATAACTATATTAAAAAAAAAACATTTGGACCGTTAGTTACACTTGCTTTCAGATGGACCACCTATTTGCATCCATCATTAAAATGGATGCCTTATACGTCTGAACCGCATATTGTGGAAATGTGGCCTATCCTGCATGAAAAAATCTTCAAATAGTTTATGTAGTTTATAACGCCTTGGCCATTATATTTTTAAAAAAGAACTAGGATTTCAAACAAAAAATTACTAATTTTTATTGTAATACATTATCTTGACTTTCTATGTCCATGAAGGTTTTCCCTAAAAACCGCCACGAACTTACGGAAGCCATGGCAGTCTCAGCGTCAATTTTGAATGAAAAAAATCCCATCACAGATATGTTATATCCATGACGGACCGCCATGGACATGCTATGTCTGTGACGGTTTTGCCTTAAAACGACCACGGACCTACGGGAGCCATGGCAGTCCCCCTATATATTTTGTTTCCAATTTACGTAAAAAAGAAATCTCGTCACGAACTTAGCAAGTCCATGACGGACTGCCACAGACATGTTGGGTTTGTATTGTGAGTTGTGAGAGTACTTTTGAGTGTGGGTTTGTATTCTGAGAGTACTTCTGATAGTGTGTTTGTATATTTGGTGGTGTGTGAAGCTTCGTCCGAATTTCTGTGTCATTCTACTAGTGTTGTTACGTAAGTGTTTTAGTTTGATTTATGGAAGATTTTTATATATGCATATTCAGTTTTCGTATTGAGGAAATCTTGAAGTCTTTACTTTGACTGTCTAAGTTTTCAGGAATATTGTACAATAACATATTATTTGTGGTTTTATTCCTTTTAAAAAAAAGTGCTTCTGGTTTTATATGAGTTTGTGGTACGTTGATAATAGAGCAGAGTTAAAAAAAAAAAGCCCAAAATTTAAATAACAAAAAAATTTAGTAAGGCTAGTCCAGATTAGCAAAGTTGTTGTGGCCTATTAATCTTGTGACTCCCAAAAGTATCAAGGTTAGGGCATTGTTCTAATTGAATGGCTGGTTTTTTGAGAATCATTGTCTCATAAGTCTACTAGTACTTGTGGTAAGCTTAGAATAAACAATAGTGAGGAAATAGTAATAAATAATGTAGAAAAACAACTTCAAAATTGGAATATTCCTAGGGTCCCCTCATGTGATATTTATAGAAAAAGATCATTTGAATTTAAAAGTGATTATATTATAAAGACCGTTAAGAAAACCATCACAGCTAATGAATATCAAAATAGAATCGAGTTATTGTTGAGATCTCTGATTGAAGAACATTAGAAAAAAAATATATCAGTATTTGGATATAGGTTTGATCCAAGTTGTGATAAAACCTTTAATCAGAATAGGATTAGACAACTCGATACTTCTCTGTGTAAGAGATTGTAGGCATAGGAAAATTATTGACTCCCTACTAGGGATTGTAGAATCAAGTCTAAGTGAATGACCTATTTACTTTAATTATTTTCCAAATTTTTAAGTCTCATTGACAGATAAAAATATCCTCAAGGTTCTAACTTTAAACCTAAAGACTTAAGGATTTGATATGGATATCGGATCCCAAAATCTAGCCATAATCTATAGAATATGCTATAAGGCTTTGACTACGCTTTGTCCATAGATCAAAAGGATTGATGAAAAAGGGACGAACAGTATTTTTTCAAACTAAAGTAAGAAGATCCAATTTAATAACTCCTAGAACTATTGTCTGGAATGAAATCAGGTTGCCTAATAGGTGGAACCTACAAAATGATGTTCAACCAAGACCTCTTGAAAATAAAGAGGTTGAACAAATAATTGAAAATGATAATGGAGAAATTCAGATCCAGTTTACCCCACTAAAAAGTGCTAGAATAAATATAGCTGATGGTCAAACCAGAATTCCCTATAGGGTTACATGCTCTTCTATCCCTCAAAGTGAGCATGAAAAAGATTATCAAATAATTATTTTAGAAAGAATCAGGACAACCAATGGACAAGTTCTGAGACATTATTACATGGTAGAAACTCCTGGATCCTCAAAATATCAGGAAGAATTAAGAAATTATACTAGTTCCACCTTATCAAATATGGTGTTTGACCTTAATGTATTAAGTAAAGAAAGGGTATTTGAAATGGATAAAATGGCTATAGACAATGATTTTTACTCTGAAGAAAATAAGGAAATGGTACCATAATGAGTTTAAAGAAAAGCTCAGGATCATATTTTATGAAGAATTTGTAAAATTTGTATAAGAAGAAAGAGTATTTCTTAAAAGGTCAAGGAATCCAGACTCTTAATTTCAAAAAAGAATTAAACATGGTAAAAAATAAATTCCAAGTCTTTACTACTAAAGACGGGAAAGAAATCCATGTTGTCCATCCTCCTAAGGTACCTCTGAATATTAATGGGGAGAAAGTTGTTCCTTATAAACTGGAGCCAAAAGGAATAAATCAAACTGCAACTATGGAAAGCATAAACCATATTATTGAACAAAACAATTATACAAAACTATATTTGAAATGCTTAGGTAAACAAGTTACTAGAATATAACCCATGATTAATAAAGAAGATACTATAAAACAAAATCCTTAAAAACTAGGACAAATATCATATATTAGGAATAAGGAAAATGAACAAATTATATTCAAATCTCCTCCTAGACTTCCAAATAAGACTTTTAAACTTAATCCAGTTACCAGTGAATTCCTAAATCAAATTATTGCCACATTGTCTCAATTAAACATTAAAAAAGAAGACCCTTAGGGCTCAGGTCAGGCCTTAACTCAACAAGACATAACAGAAGATTACTTGGAAGAAGAGTTAGCCAAACTTCTTTGGCCGAGACGTTTCTCTCTCCATTCTCTACTCTCTGAAACTTCTTTGGCCGAGAAAGCCTTGACTTTCAATGGTCAGAGCTCTGCACAAAAACCAAATGCATTGATGCCAAAGCCTCTTCAACTTGATTAGAACCCTAATTGTTCTCTAATTCAAGAAGCTTTCTCAACAAAAACAGAGGAATTTGGTTTTCCATCATCATCATATCCCTAACATACTGAGAGAGTGCTCCTAAGAGATTGGGTTTTTGGGGTTTTCTCTTGAGAAGGTTGTAAGCCTCCAAGAATGGAGCGTATGCCAAGGGGCTCTCCTCCATTGCCCTCCTCCATGTATGACTAGAAGCCTCTATACATTGCTACTTCCATTTTCTCTCTTGGTTGGGTAGGACCTATTGACTCCCGAGAGAGAGAGAGTTTGGGGGTAGAGAAAGAGATCAAGGTATGAGAGAGTTGGGGGCAGACAAAGAAAGAGAGGAATGAGAATAAGAGAGAGAGATGGAAGCCAATATGTCGGAAAAAGAAAAATTGAGAGATAAAGAGATTACTTTGATCGTCTATATATCTTTTGTGATATTGGAAGGCTTCTTAAATCTCTTTCTTGCCACAATGGGAAAACCATTAATAAACCGCAACCTAAAAAGGAAAGAGCAAATTGGGGGAAAAAGCAAATTGGTGAGGGAGGATAAAGAGAGAAAGAGAGAGGATGGTGGAGAGAGGTAGAGAGAAAAAAAGGA